GTAAGCCCTCCACAAAATTATAATATAAATTAAGAAGAAAAACTATAATAATTATTCCAACTAAAAACTATAATATAAATAAATAAAAAATACAATTTTCTCCTCTAATTCTAGATGTTGAAATAAGGCATTTTATTTTTAATAATTTGCGGAGGGTAAAAACCTCCACTAAACCTCCATTATTTTAACATTTTTTTTTGTAGTGAGCGCTGCAATTTTAGGTTGGGCACTGCAACCCTGGAAGGAAATGATCTGGCAGAGATCTAGCGTTGCAACTCCAAGTTGGACATTGCAACCCTAGGAGAAAATGAAAGTGGCAGAAAGTTAAAGATGGAGTGCTGAATTGAATGCTGTAGCGTTGGTAGTAGATGACCGAATTTGGTCTTGGGATCTTCATGAAAGTTGTAGCCTTGAATGTTATTTTTCCAATGGAGCTAGAATCACCCAAAAAAGAGTTCTAGAACTCCAGTTATGACCCTTTTAGTGAGCAAAGGTCAAGCTGTCAGGATTTAGGCTAGTTGTTGCGGTTTTTACAATTTTTAACATGGTATATGAGGGAATTAGAACCTTGAGTTCTTCATGAAAATTATAGAAAATCTTCTTGTCTTTCATATGACATAAGAATGAGACTGAGTGGACTAGTATAACTCCCTATGGGTTATTTTATGTGAAGGTTGTAGATGTAGGAATAATATAAATTGCATGTGATACAAGTTGTATGATGGGTGAAATTGGTGAACATGAATGGAATGTTTGTATACTTGAAATGGTGATGAACATTGGTATGCTTTATATGATTGATATGCTATGTTTGAATTAATTGTGGAGCATTAATATGCTATTATTGTGAATTATTAAGCATTAGTATACTGTTCTTGGTTGAGATGTTAAGCATTGGTATGTTGTACATGATTGATGTTATTGATCTCTATATGCATTGACTGGATGTGATGTATATAATAGATGTATGGTGAGGTGTGGATGCTAAGAATGCGGTGTGACATTATAGCATGATGACTAACTTAGGATTTAAGGAGATAAAATTATTTTGAAAAAATGAAAATCCCATATAGGATATCTTGGAGTGGTGCTCGGGTAGGCCACTGTTTGGGAAACCCTTCTTAAGTAGGTGTGTCTCTTGGAGTAAGTTTTGAAGGTGTGTTGAGTCTCCTCCAAATTCTTAGTTAGTAGTTGAGTAAGGTAGGAGGTTGAGGGCTATGACCCTTAACCAAGTACCTGGAAAGATTGTGTGGTTCTTTGAGAATATTCTATGGGCGACACTACTACAATTTGAATAATCTTAGTCGCTTAATCTAAGACGGTTTACTAAAAGGAACCTAATCTACTATGGTTTAGACAATAACTGTAGTAGAATAGCTTAGACGCATATATCTATGACGGTTTATTGTAAAACCGACTTAGATGATAAGTGATTTACGACAGTTTATTATAAAACTGACTTAGATGATAAGTGATCTACGACGGTTTATTGTAAAACTGATTTAGATGATAACTGATCTACGACGGCTTTTGTGTAAAACTGACTTAGATGGAGACACAAAATTATCACGCACATGTTTCTCTCATTTCATGCGCGCCCTTCAGTCTCCCACCCACAACCTCGTTGTCTCTCTCGGTTCTCTCTCAATTGCTCTCAACGTCTCAACCTCATTGTCTCTCTCAGTTCTCTCTTAGTTGCTCTCAACGTCTCAACCTCGTTGTCTCTCTCAGCATCCTCTCAATGACAGCCTTGTGAGAACTCTCAACCTCTCGTGCGCAACCTCTCACTGAAGCGACGGTGGCCAGAGGTGTTTTGAACACAACGGGGTTAAAGAAACGAGTGACACCAAAGGTGTTTCACGAAAAGTTACTTCATGCATGGCTCATTTAGAGATAGATTGGGCATTAAGGTTTATATATTCATGGCTCGTTGAGCACAATAACACATGAAAAATTTGAAGAGCTTTGTGAAGACATTTGGGAAAAATCGTTTTCATGGGTGAAAGAGGTGGTTGAGCATTCTGGACTGTCATTCACGTGTGTACATCTAAGACAGTTTTCATAAAATCGACTTAGATGAACACATACATCTAAGTCGATTTTTGCATAACTGGTGTAGATATGTTCATTCATCTACATCACCTTCATCTAAGTTGGTTTTAGAACCGATGTAGAAATGGAATAATAACCGACTTAGAATACAATCCTTCTTGTAGTGCGAATTCTATATATGACTTGGTAATACATTTTAAGGTTGTGGTAAACCTATAAATTTTAAAAGAATTTATATATTCCAATATAATACTTATTTGTATATATAATTTATTATAAATTTTATCTATATATAATAAATATTTAGTTAATACAACATATACTAAAATACTAGTAAAAAAGAAAGTTTGATGTTTTTTATGAATGGATCCAGAAAGGGTAGGTAAAGAAACGTAATTTTGAAAGAATCGTCTCAAAATTCATGACAATTCGTACAACTTTCAGAAAAATATTTTCCTACAAAACAACATTTTCTTTCCATGTATATTTATTGTGTGATTAGAAAAATATTTTCCAGCAAAACAACATTTTTCTTTCCATGTATATTTTTTGTGTGATTAGCAAGATATTTTAAAATTTTATAATTTTTTTGACTAATGATAATTATTACTAGTATCTTAATATTTAAAATGTACTGATTAAATATTTATTAGAAATTACTAAAATTTATAATAAATGATGTATAAAAAATATTATAAATTTTGGTCTTACATACAAAACTTTTGGTATTCCTACATGGGGCTTAGACAATGTTGGGAGAAAGGTTATCAAATAAATAAATATATCTTATCAAATAATTTTGATTTATATTGTTAATTTACATGTTTTCAACCGTTAAATTATAACGTATAAAGTTTCGGCCAATTTATAAGTCAGTTTTATCAAATACAATTAAAAGTTTTTTCTCCATCTTTTACTTTGCATGTTAAGCTTTGTCAAATTTCTCACTTTTATTTACCTCATCTTCATTTTGCAACAATAATACCATCACAAACTGATTGGCTTTCTGCCTCTCTTGAGTACCAACAAAAAAGAAAAAAGAAGAAAATATATTAATTTGTTTCTAGTTCTTAAAGGATTTTGATATCATGAGATGTCCCATTGCATAGCATAGCTTATGCTAATAATAATGTAGTATAGTAAATATTATGTCAAAGTTCTAAGTGCAAAGTTGTCAATTCAAGAGTATGACGACAAAATTCTATTAAAAGTTTAAAACCGAACCAGCTTTGCCAGATAATATTTTTCTAAAGATAAAGATTGCATGCAAATCCAAGCATCTATATTTGCAAATTACAACAAATGCAATTATGTTATGTCCAAATTATTTATTCTCTTCCCTCAACAAAATTCAAGAGACTTGACATTTAACCACAAGCTGCAACTTTCTGCAAGAAAACAAACCAGAAAAAAAAAGTTAATAAATCATTAAACATGATTAGTGTTTCTCAACCATTTGCTCCTCAATCTGCCCCAGACCCTTTTACCTTTTCATATTTTATTGCCAATGCTTCCAACGTGATTCTAATTTTCTTCGTGTGTCTTTGTATCGCCACCATATATTCAACAATAGTTCTTCTTATTCTATTAAAAGCATGTGAATACATATCTGATATTCTTCTTGAAACACTTGAGGATGATGTTGAAGACGGAAGAACAAGAACTTTGGCAGTTGAATCTTTTCCTATGTACCAACATGATTGGAATCAAATAAGTGACAATAGTAGGGAAAGATTACAATCATATACACAAGCTTTTGAGATGAGATCAATCCATAAAAAACCATCAATAAAACTGCCACAGCTTGTGGTTTATGGACAAGATCAGTTGATGAGTTCATTTTGTAGTGTTTGTGTTATATGCTTGGAGAGCTTCATCGTTGGGGAGTATTGCCAAATTCTTCCACCTTGCAATCACTTATTTCATTCTTACTGCATAAAGCATTGGTTGAAGGACAATTTCACTTGCCCTGTTTGTCGAAATTGTTTATTAAAAACATGTAAGTTACAAAATGGATGATGTAATTTTTGTGGAAAATGTGATCATTTTTTTATTCACTGTGTTATTGGGGCAAAATATCTACGGTATTTTGATATATAATTGTTAATTTCTTTCCTCTTGTGGGAGAATTTCATTATTGTAAATATTTCCTTTGTGAGTTCTCACTTTATTTGATTCACATATCTTATTGCCTAGTGGCATGTGAAGGACTATGACAACTCGGAAAGTTTGGCTAAAATGAATTATGTGGTGGATTTTCTTGTTCAAAGTCTTCTTTTAAGAAGCTGTAATGTATTGAGATGTTCGTTTCACTTCAAACAAGAAAAATGATCACATTGGAGACCACGAAAAAAAATATCTGGAGTTGGTTAAAATTAAAGTGCTACTAACTACTTTTCTTTAATATTTTCTTAGCTAAGTATCGAAGAATTTTGTCCTTTAGTTCGTGGAATCTTTATGAATTTTTCTTCCCTATCCTTGGCTGCACCGTGTCTTATTCTTACAATCATATTGACGTGTTTCATAATTCATACTCTTATTACATGCTTGGTATTCTTTTTTGTAAGTTCAAAAGCTTTTAACTTCTCAACCTTGTTACATAGTGGGCTTCAAGTTGTTTTGTTTTCTTAATGAAAATCATTCACGAACTATGATAAAGTTCACGAAACAAACTTTCCGTAATTCGAAAAATATAACCTAGAGAATCAATATGACCCAAGTCTGTTACCTACCAAAGTACTCATTCTGAGCCTGTATTTTAGATTAAAATTTCTTAGCAGACAAGGCTTCGTTTAATCAGCCACATGAGCAATCCTTTACTGTTACAAAATTTATTTTGCAAACACTACATATATTTCAACAACACAACTTCTTGCATGAAATTAGAAATGGCCTAGTTTTGATTCACCATGATGAGACCATTTGCACTTAAGGGTCAAAAGTGCATGTTACAAGTTGTTTGTCTCTACTTCAGCTTCTGATTCAGCAACCACAGGCACCTTTTCATACACATTAGACCCTTTGAATCTTTGAGGAAGAATACAATGGGCACCAAAACGTTGCTGCAAGTAGATAATGATAGCCACCAAGATACCTCCCAATGGAATGGCAATATCCCAAGCAGTGGAGTAAAAATCTGCACTTGGATCCGCATAGAAGTATGATCCATTATCTACGCGAGCAAAATTATGAGTCCTGTAAAGATCATAGGCATGAGGCAACAATCTCACGAAAGTAGTTCCAAAGTAAAAAGAACATGAAAGAACATTGTCCTTCATGTTTGAGAACAGGTTTAGGATAATCTGTGGCAAGAGAAAGCCATCCAATACCAAACCACCATAAGATTTTAAGTTCTCCCAAGATGAAGAATGATGTTGGTTCAATGGAGTAAGCACAGCAACCTCATCTCCATCTCTCTTCAACTTAAACAGCAATGCAATCAATAAGCCAGCAGCATACAATGGAAAAGTGACATAAGCAGCCTTTCTCTCAGCAATCCAGAGGCCATTTATGCTTTCATCACTCTTTCTTGATGACCAAGTTAGTTGAAGGAGTCGAAATTGCAACAAGAAAGCCGCCATGGTGATTAGCCTTATAGCTATTTCATTCACTTCAAGCCACCCAACATTTCCAAATACAAAGTTTTTGTTGTTAGGATTTTGAGTAAGAAGTGCTTCGAAGTTTAGAACAAGGGGTATCATGTGGCCTAAAGTAAGCATTGACATCATAATAAGTGAGATCAAGGGGAGCACATTGGGGTGTCTCTTCACATGGAAGAGCTGCAATCCCACAAAAACACATGCTAGAGTGGTAGATATCAGAACCATGATGGTCTCTATATCTATTCTCCAAACTATTTTTTTAGCTGCTTCAGTGTAAAATGCAGATGAAGATAAGTCCAAAGGTTGGAAGTAAAGAGCATCTGACTTCTTGCGTGTGCTTTCAATGCTTCCCTTAATGAAGATTCCACTTTTTGCTTCTAATGGTGGTAACTGAAACTTCACCACAATCCCACAATCCACAGAATGAGCTACTGGTGAGAGAGAGTTTGAGTGAAGATCACGGCAACCTACCATACACAAGCTTCCTGCTCCAGCATCATAAACTCCTTCTGCTGAAATCCTCACCGACCAAGAGGACTGGTTTAACAGGGAATTCTTGTCACTGGTTGAATTAAACCACAGTGAGATTTTGTAGCTAATGTTAAACAAACCACCACTGTTGTTTTTTACCTCATTAACTTCTACAAAGGAGCTTGAGACATTCTTACCTAAGGTAGAGACCTCATTACCAACAGACAAGGGTTCTGAATATCCCCATGCTACTCTTTTGTTAGACTCTCTAACTGACATGTCAAATCTCATGTCATAAGAATAGGCATCTGGATATGTTCTCTTCTTGTTCTTAACAGGCTTGTGTTTTGGGCACGACTTCTTCACTCTGTCTAATAGGCTATACTCATACTTTTTAGCTTGAATTCCCACCCAACGATCATCACCATTTCTAAATGTTATCATCTTGAAGTGGCTTGGATCATTAGTACTCTTGTTGCTCCAAATTTGGCCCACTATGCTACTAGTGCTGTTGATTGACCAAGTTGAGGGGAATCTCAATCTTAATCTTATGGAGCAATCACCCACATGAGTACCAGCCAAGGATGATGACTTGCCTATGAAATGACAAGCCACTACACACAACATGTTTCTCTTCTCATCCCACCATCCCTCTCCTACCAACATAGTTTCAGGATTGAAACTCTGGCTAATCCCGAAGTCACTAATATTCAAAAACCTCATCAGAACCCTCAACCTATGCTTGTTGTTAGTGATAGAACACTCGATGCCTTTCAAAGACACTACAGATGGCAATTGACCAGAACTCTCACTAATAGGAGTGCAATTCTTAAAAGAATTGCACTCAGGAGAGAACTCCAATTGGAGATTCCTAATAGCCCTTGAGAGGGAATGTGAACAAAAACTCATTGAATTCAATGGTAAACCACCCTTTGTAGTATCATCACTCCCAGAAGAGAACTCATTGGCTACTTTTATGGAATCCAAGGTATATTTGTAATTTGCTTTTGGAAAGATCACCACAGAAATGGGTTCAAAGTGGCTCCAATCCTTCCTCAAGCTCTCCAATGTTCCACTCACCAAGCTAGTGATATTGCTTGCATTGAACACATTATCAAGCTTAAACACAACATCCAGATTAAGATACTTACCTTCCTTGGAATAACCATTTCCTGTCCCTACCATGCAAACCTTCCCTGAAGACTCAGACCAGAAGCCATCAAGCTTGAAGTTTACATGGCTTCTACGGTAGCGGCGTTGGCGCTCATATCTCAACCTCTCACCATAGCTGACGTTCCCTACATGGTAGTAAGATATGCTGGAGGTGAGTGATGCAGAGCCTTCAACTTTGAACAAGTCAGAGGACTTGGTTGCACGTGTGTGCATTGGTTCGAAGGCAAAGGAGTATTGGTTAAAGGAAGTTCCACCATCTATGATGCTATCACCTCCTGTGAAGTAACCTCTGTAGTAATCATCAAAAGGGGAAGAGTTGTGGATGAGTCCATTGGGAGTTGACTCTGGAACTATTGAACCACAATGGTCTTTGTAAGAGGGTGTTGAAGTAAAAGAGGAGACAAGGTAGAAAGAAGAGATAGTGAGAAGAAAGAAGAGAATGGAGTGAAGAGAATTCATGATCATGATCAATCGTAGAGGAACAAAGCAAGATTTCAATTCAGTGTTGTATAATATATATATCTCTATGCTTCTGCTATATTTTCCGCTGAATGACACTTAAGAGTTCAAAATTTGTGGGTTTGGGCTGCCTCAAGTAACACAATAGGTCTAAAAACAATTATTAAGATAGATTATCATATGATGTCAAATTGTGAGTTTAGACCTAATTTAATTTTACAAATCGATTTATAAAAAAGAATTATTTCTTACTTATATATTCTATTTTGATCATTTATCGATGTGAGATCTTCAACAAATAAATCGGCTTCCCATGGTGTGCTAAAGTCATACAAGTTTTTTTTTTTTTTTGACAAATTCTAAGAAGCTTCTGATGAATTTTCTAAGTTTAAACTTTGAAAATGATGCAATTGTTCACTATGGCTTGGTGGATATAGTAACATCTATGATCAATAGATATTAGATGATTCACTTTCATATTTAAGAGAGTACATTGTCACTTGACTCTCATTAGTCATTATTATTAAAAGAAGAGTTTGCGTGAAATAATTTATTTCTGTGCATATTTTTCCTTAAGCTCTTGTCAAAAGATCAATTGATTTGTAAAAGAAACTCTTAAATAAACAAGTCCTTACAATTATTACACTTTTGATGGTGCCGCACCATTCCAACATGTGTTGTCTCTATCTCAAGTGCGTTTTAGCATGCTCAAGCAAGCATTGACATTTCTAAGGCTATCTTGAACTGTAATTAATTGTCTCACCCTTTGTAAATGGTCATGTAATTTTCTCTCTGCCACTGTGTTTATCTTACGAGCAAAAAACATATATCGATTTTTTTGTTCAGTGCCTACTGAAGTTGGAAATCATTAATCCAAATTAATATGAGGAATTTTCATAATCCATACTTTTTGGGTACAGATCAATTTTCAAACTAGCTTGATTTAACTTATATGAGTGGACAATACTAATAATATGAACAAGTAGTGGATATAGAAACTTAATTGGGAACGTTTCCTTCGATGTTTCTTTGACTAATTGTTTAATAAGAGGACAAAGGTGTAGGACGGCAATTTCTATAGCCATGAAGAAATTCTATGTTATTAATTTATATTTATGGATAGTTAGATAAGGACTTGCTTTTGTTCAACCCCACAAAGACTTGAAAGTTGGAACAATTCATCGCTCACATATTGCCAAAAACTGTCCTTAGTCAAGACAAAGAAGACGTCAAATAGTTATTTCTGTAATTACTTAACCCAAAAACCACGTTCAAAGGCTGGGTTTTGTTTAGTTATTTTTAGTTTTAACCATTTTTTATTATAACATAAAAATATTAAAAATTAATAACAATTTTTTATCAGGAAATATAGTACAGATTTTAAATTTATATGCTTAAATTGAATTTATTATTATTATAAGAAGTTATTTTTATATAATTTACTTGTTTCTTTCTAATTTTGTTTTTATTCATTCAAATAAGAAGAAAGAACTTTTCCATCTGTTTGCTTTACTTGGTGAGCAAATTTATTTGCTCACTCGGGAGATAAACTTACGGGAATTGGAGTTTTATCTAATAAAACTAGACGGTAACATTTATTTAAATTAGGAAATATATTATTTTTAGTAATTATATATATATATATATATATATATATATTATGATGCAATTTTATTTAATTTTTTTATAAAATAATTTGTTTTACTGTGTCACTTAAATATTAGATTATTATATACCTCTTAAATAAAAAATCAAAATGAAATGAATAAAATGTGGAAATAATATCACACAAATTAAATATTTCTTTACACCAACAAAATCATATTCTTTTCATTAAAGTAATATTCTGAATACAATGATAAATTTCATTATAAATATTCTTTGAATCAAATAAAATAGAATTTCTATTTAAGGAATGAGTTACTAAATTACTTTCTTTTATATTATATTGAATTATAGAAGATCTTATAATCTATCTAATTTGATTAAAAATCATATTACACTTTGAAATAATTTTCTACTACTAGAATTTCTCTTATTACATGCGACTTTTCCTGCGAATTTTTGTAAAAAATTCGTAGAAAACGTTGTTCCTACAAATTTTTCTGCGAAATTTTATCTACAAGTAATACTTTCGTGGATAATATATTTTTGTGAATTTTAAAATTTGCAGGAAATTTTCCTACGAAATTTCTTGCGAAAAAAATTCACAAGAAAGTTTCCTGCAAAATTCGCAGAAAAGTTTCCTGCAAATTTTTTCGCAAGAAATTCTGTAAGAATATTTTTTACGAAAAAAATTAAAAAAATTACTATAAATTATATCAATAATTCTTCAACTTTCAAATGCTCGCAATGAATTCATCTAAAGCATTTGTTTCCATGGCTCCAACATGTGATACATAATGTTTTAAATTCTAAGATTAGATTATAAGTCTAACACTCAACCATACAAATCAACTTGTAAGGTAAGTGTTGTCTCAACTTATATACTTTTTAATTATTTTATTTTCAATCGATGTGGGACTTGAAGTTTTTTTAAAATATTAAACTTATAAATTTAAATATATATTTTTTATTTTTCCTACGGATTAAAATTTGTAGGAAAATCTGCAGGAAAAGTTACCTGCAAAAATTTTCTACCATTTAGTAAACATTACTTGCGAATTTATTTTTTGCAAGAAAATCTGCAAGAAACAAAATAAAATTCTTACAATATTTTCTACAAGTTTTTACCATAGAAAAAAATTTCTATGATCATTAAAAATGTAGCAAAATTTGTAAGAAATATCTGTAAATTATTTTTTGCAAATAAATTCGCAAGAAAATTCTGCGAATATTTTTTTGCAGGAAAATTCACAAAAAATTTTTGCAAATATTTTTTTGTAGAAAAATGACACTTTTCTAGTAATGTCCTATTACTATAAATTTGATCCACTATTAATTTGTAATCTAATTCAATAATCATATTATGAAATTGGTAATTGTGGAACTAATTAAGAATATGTAATACAACACTTACTTCTGTCTCTTTTATCGACATATTGAGTTTGAATGTTTGATAAAGACAATTCTTGCTTGCAAAAAAAAAAAACACCTCTTTCGTTCCTTAAACAAACTCTAATTCCTATGAAGTCTTCCTTAATAAAAAAAAAAAAAAGGTGCATTACAACTGCATTTTAATTTGTCTAATGGGGAGGAATCCATACATTTAAAGGAGGTTCCATAACCTACACAAAATTTGTCGGATGTCAACATTCAACATTTTGTTAGCATTTATTCAATCTATGAGAGTAAATTTTGGTCAATTCATCAGTACTGCCTTCATTTATTCATGCTTTGCATTTCACATCAATTTCATTAGTTCTCCACCAAATACTCCTCATAGTCATAACCAAAAGTTGAAATTGATCCTTTAATAATAGTCCATTTGATTTAAGAAAATAAATTTTTAAATGATTCACAACATCACACAAATTAAATGCTTAAAAACTAAAATATATTGTATTATAATTCCATGTGAAATATAATTCAAATATATTAAATTATTTTGTAGTATGTTAATAATAATTGGATTGAAATCTTTCTTAATTTAATTTTAAATTATTAATTTTTATTTTCATTCTTTTGTTTTAAACCTAAAAGTATAAGAGTCAATTAAATGAATACTTCTAAATTATAAATATGTTTGTTTCAATATTTTATCAAATTAGTATTTTTAGGACCCGATAGATACTATGAGTATTTGGTTGTGCCTTTTAGTGTGACCAATGCACCCGAATAAGGACTACATGAATAAGTTTTTTCATTCTTACCTTGATATGTCTGTAGTAGTCTTCATAGATAACATTCTCATACTTTAAGACTAGGAAAAAGCATGTTGAGCATCTTAGAATAGTCTTGCAAACCCTTAAAGATAAGCAATTGTATGCTATGTTGTCTAAGTATGAGTTTTGGTTGAATAGTATTAACTTCTTAGGGCATGTGATCTCTGAGGAAGGGATAGTTGTAGATACTTCTAAGGTAGAAGTTGTGCTTGAATGAAAGGTACCTAAGTTAGTGTTTGAGATTATGAGTTTTCTAGGACAAACTGATTACTACAAGCAGTTCATAGAGAATTTCTCTAGGTTAGCATTTCCTTTAACTAAGTTAACTAGAAAGATACAATCTTTTGTTTGGGACTCTAGGTGTGAGGAGGCTTCCCAGAGCTTAAAAGGAGATTAATTAGTGCATATATCTTAGTGTTGCCTAACCCTAGTGAGACCTTTGTAGTGTACTGTGACACTTCAAAGATGTGTTTAAAAAGTGTTTTTGCAAAAGAGGAAAGTAGTAGCTTATGCATCTAGGCAGTTGAACGTTCATGAGCAAAATTATCTACCCATGACCTAGAGTTAGATGTTGTAGTGCTTGTGTTGAAATTGTGGAGTCATTATTTGTTTGGGTCAAAATTTGAAGTGTTTAGTGACCATAAGACCCTTAAGTATATTTTTTAACAAAATGAGCTTAATATGAGACAAAAGAAGTGTGAGTTCCTTAAGGACTACAATTTTGAGTTTAGTTAACATCTTAGTAAAACCAATGTAATAATTGACGCTTTGAGTAGAAAATCCTTATAAATATCTATTTTGAAGGTTAGAGAGTTTGATACATATATTTATCACAAATTAGGAAAATATATTAAGACATTGAATTTTTATTGTAATTTTAGTTTTCCAAATTTATTGTATATTAACATGAATTTTTATACAAATTAAAAAAATTATTTTTTCATATTCTAATTCGATTATTATTGAATTATAAGAGACAATAAAAAATAATTGAAATTAAAGATATAAATGATCAACATATCATTTAAAGTAATAATCATTGTCACTTTAATATTAGTTTAAATTAATATTTTTATATTAATATATATATATATATATATATATATATATCCTTGATATGTCTGTAGTAGTCTTCATAGATAACATTCTCATACTTTAAGACTAGGAAAAAGCATGTTGAGCATCTTAGAATAGTCTTGCAAACCCTTAAAGATAAGCAATTGTATGCTATGTTGTCTAAGTATGAGTTTTGGTTGAATAGTATTAACTTCTTAGGGCATGTGATCTCTGAGGAAGGGATAGTTGTAGATACTTCTAAGGTAGAAGTTGTGCTTGAATGAAAGGTACCTAAGTTAGTGTTTGAGATTATGAGTTTTCTAGGACAAACTGATTACTACAAGCAGTTCATAGAGAATTTCTCTAGGTTAGCATTTCCTTTAACTAAGTTAACTAGAAAGATACAATCTTTTGTTTGGGACTCTAGGTGTGAGGAGGCTTCCCAGAGCTTAAAAGGAGATTAATTAGTGCATATATCTTAGTGTTGCCTAACCCTAGTGAGACCTTTGTAGTGTACTGTGACACTTCAAAGATGTGTTTAAAAAGTGTTTTTGCAAAAGAGGAAAGTAGTAGCTTATGCATCTAGGCAGTTGAACGTTCATGAGCAAAATTATCTACCCATGACCTAGAGTTAGATGTTGTAGTGCTTGTGTTGAAATTGTGGAGTCATTATTTGTTTGGGTCAAAATTTGAAGTGTTTAGTGACCATAAGACCCTTAAGTATATTTTTTAACAAAATGAGCTTAATATGAGACAAAAGAAGTGTGAGTTCCTTAAGGACTACAATTTTGAGTTTAGTTAACATCTTAGTAAAACCAATGTAATAATTGACGCTTTGAGTAGAAAATCCTTATAAATATCTATTTTGAAGGTTAGAGAGTTTGATACATATATTTATCACAAATTAGGAAAATATATTAAGACATTGAATTTTTATTGTAATTTTAGTTTTCCAAATTTATTGTATATTAACATGAATTTTTATACAAATTAAAAAAATTATTTTTTCATATTCTAATTCGATTATTATTGAATTATAAGAGACAATAAAAAATAATTGAAATTAAAGATATAAATGATCAACATATCATTTAAAGTAATAATCATTGTCACTTTAATATTAGTTTAAATTAATATTTTTATATTAATATATATATATATATATATATATATATATTATAAGGATGAAGAATTTACTTACTCGATGAATAATTCTTAATAGAATTATTCATGTCCAAAACCGAAACCTTCCTAAAAAATTATTTAAAATTATAATCAAGAGATCCATCGACATCCAATTCTATAATCCACAAAACACAATAGTCATTTAACTTTAAACTAAGAGGACAGGGGCACAAGACTTTGCTTAATCAGCCACATGAACAGTCTTTTACAAAAAAAAAAAAAAAAAACTATTGCCGAGGCTACAACAACACAACTTCATAGCTAAATTACATCAACATTGAACAGAACTGCTTGAGAGTCACCCTGATCAGAATCAGGCCATTAGAACTTGGCATCATAAGAGGCATTTTACATGTTGGTTGTTTCCTTTTCTGCTTCAGATTCAGTAACCACAGGCAACTTTTCATATACCTTAGACCCTTTGAACCTATGAGGCAAAATACAATGTGCACCAAAACGTTGCTGCAAGTAGATAATGATAGCAAATAGGATACCTCCCAGTGGAATGGCAATATCCCAAGCAGTGGAGTAAAAATCTTCACTTGGATCTGCATAGTAGTATGAACCATTATCTTGGGGAGCATCACTATGAGCCCTGTAAAGATCATAGGCATGGGGCAACAGTCTCACAAAAGTAGTTCCAAAGTAGAAAGAACATGAAAGAACATTGTCTCTCATATTTGAAAAAAGGTTTAGAATGATTTGTGGTAAGAGAAAACCATCCAAAACCAAACCAGCATAAGATTTCATGTTCTCCCAATATGAAGGCTGGTATGGACCCTTGTTCAACTTCACCAACAAAGCAATCAATAACCCTGATGCATACAAGGGTAAAGTAACATAAGTTGTGTTCCTCTCAGCAATCCATAGGCCTTTTTTGCTTTCATCACTCTTTCTTGCTGACCAAGTCAAATACAAGAGCCGAAATTGCAACAAGAAAGCCACCATGGTGATCAGCCTCACACTTGTTTCATTAACTTCAAGCCATCCATTATTTCTGAATAGCCAGTTTTTGTTGTTGGGATTTTGAGTGAGAAGAGCTTCAAAGTTGAGAACAAGGGGCACCATGTAACTCAACGTGAGAATTGACATCATAATAAGTGACATGAAGGGTAGCACATTTGGTTCTCTCTTCACCTTGTAGAGTTGCAATCCTATACAAGCACATGCTAGAGTTGTGGAGATTAGAGCCATGATGACTTCCATATCCATTCTGTAAACATTTCTTCTTGCTGCTTCTCTATAATATGCAACCCCGGATAGGTCTAAACGCTTGAAGTAAAGAGGATCATGTTCTTTACGCGTGCTTTCAATACTTCCCTTAATGTAGCTTCCATCATTCAAGTCCAATGATGGAAACTGAAAATTCAATAGAATCTCACAGTCCACAGAATGAGCTACTGGTATCTCGGTGTTTGTGTTAGAGAGAATGTCACGGCAACCTACCATACACAAGGTTCCTAATCCAGCATCATAAACTCCTTCTGCTGAGATCTTCACTCTCTGAGAGGACAAATTAAACACAGAATCCCTGTCACCTAACTTTGATGAAGACATCACTGAGAGGCTAATCTTGTAGCTTATGTTAAACAAGCTACCATTGTTGATGTTGAGGATTCCATCAGGAACTTCATTTGAGAAAACTGAGAAAGAATCAGAAGTTTTATATAGGCTAGACTCAGAGAATTCATCATCAACAGCTAAGGGTTCTGAATATCCCCATGCTACTCTTTTGTTAGACTCTCTAACTGACACACCAAATCCCATGTTGCGAGAATCGGCCTCTGGATATCTTTTCCCCTTGTCATTAGGCTTGTGTGTTGGACATGTTTTGTTAACCTTCTCTAGTTGGCTATACTCATACTTTAAGCCTTGACCTGCCACCCCACGATCCTCATCATTTCTAAATGTTACCATCTTGAAATATGATGGATCACTTGCACTCTTGTTGCTCCAAATTTGGCCCACTATGCTACTAGTGTTCTTTATTGACCAAATTAAGGGGAATCTCAATTTCAATCTTACTGAGCAATCACCCACATGAGTGCCATCCAAGGATGATGCTGACATTCCCATGATATGGCAAGCAACTACACTCAACATGTTGTTCTTCTCATCCCACCATCCTTCCCCTACTAACATAGTTTTGGCATCAAAACTTTGGTTAATCAAATGATAACGAATATCTGGAAACTCCATTAGAACCCTCAACCTATGTTTCTTAGCAGTAAGAGAACATTCAAAGCCTGTCAAAGACATTAGGGATGGAAGTTGACCTTGACCAGAACTCCCACTTATAGAACATTTCTTAGATGAATGGCAATCAAGAGAGTACTCTAATTGGAGTCTTCCAATCCCCCAAGAGAGGGGAGACTTACAAAAACTAAATGAATTTAAGTTCAATGCTAATCCCTCCCTATCATCACTCCCTTGAGAGAACTCCCTAGCAACTTCTATGGTATCCAAGGAATAATTGTAACTTCCTTTTGGAAACATCAACACAGAAATGCGTTCAAAGTAGTTCTCATCCTTTTTAGGACTCAAACTCTCCAAGCTTCCACTAACCAAGCTAGTGATGTTACTTGCATTGAACACATTATTAAGCTTAAAAACAGCATTCACATTGAGAGGGTTACCTGCTTTGGAAAAACCACCACCAATCCCAACCATGCAAACCTTCCCTGAAGACTCATGCCAAAACCCATCAAGCTTAAAGGTCACGTAACCTCTACGATGAGCCCCATAATAAGAACCATAACCATCACTGAATGTGTTGGTGCTTCTAAATGATATAGTGGCAACAACTTTGAAAAGTTTTGGGGTTTGAGTGGCACGTGTCTCCCTTTTTGAGAGGTAAAAGGAGAAGCGGTTCCAAGAAGCACCAACATCGATGATGCTGTCACCTCCTATGTAGTAACCATTGTGATGATCACCAAGAGGGAAAGGGTTGAGGCTGAGTTTGGAGGTGGGGGTTGAGTCTTCAACTATGGAAGCACAGTGGTCTTTGTAAGAAGGTTGTGAGGCATAGGAGGACAGAGGGTTGAAGGAGAAGAAAGTGAAAAGAGAAAAGAGGATGGAGAGAAGAAAATTTGTTGCCATGATCATCTAACTATAGTTCAATTATTATGAAGGAAGGTAGAGAGTGAGAAACAAAGAAAGGATTTGATTCACATATATAGTGTCTCTCTGCATTATTGCATGCCAAACAAAGACGTACTTCTAACGTTAAAATCATAAATGTAACTGTGACCTGTGAAGTGTGAACCGAAGAAAGATTTGCAAATCTTATCCGAGACTTACTTCAATAATTTAGCTATTACACAGGTCGCGGATTCTCGATTAGCTTGTTATGCATGAAATCATATTAATTTAGTCATCTACGTATGTTATTAATTTAGTCTATGTCATCATTAACTTTTTACTTTAATTCGAGTGTGTAAGTCGATGTCATCATTAACTTTTTTTTAGTGTGACCAAATTAATAATTTTTAACGTATAAGAACAGAATCAGGAATTTGTGACGCATAGATTAAATTGTATTTTTAACCTATAAAATAAATGAAAGTGATAATGTGATAGGTGATAAATTATTTATGTATAATTTTTGAAATGGAAAAGAAAATGAGGCTTAATATTTTCTCACACCTTTTGTCTGTATAAGAAATGTATACAGCTTAATCACAAATTTAATTTTTTTATATTAAATATAAATCATTATTTTACACGAGAATTTTTCTTTGACAAAAAAATTTATAGTAATTCTTTTAACTTCCTATCTAATTTAATTTTTATTTATCATAATTATTTATAAAAAAATTAAAATTAAATTATCAATAAATAAAAATAATTTTGTGCTATAACATAAATTATTTATCTCAAATCTAAAATATAATTTATATATTTAAAAAATATCTATTTATATAATTTTAAATATAATATATATATATATATATATATTCAAACATAATAAAAATATAATTTATATATTTAATTATATATAATAAACATGTATCTACATTACACATGTTAAAATACTAATTTACTATAAATCTACGATCATAGAAAATTTGGCTTATATTTTACTTATAGTTTTGGTATAATTTCATAAGTTTATACTGATAATTTTATTCTAAAATTCACCGATTGATGAAAATCCATACCACATATATTATAATTATAAATTTCAAATTAATCTAAAATTGTCTGATATTTCACAAATGTATGTCAACATTAAAAATTTACATCACATATATTATTGAAATACATGAAAAATAAGAGTTCTTTAATTATATATTCCTGGTGACAGTGTTGCTTAATTTTCTAAGAACAGAGAGAATTAGTCAATGTAACATTATAATTCAATACTTGTACCTTTTTCTTTTTATTAAAATTTTCTTCTTTTTATTCCGAACCACAAACACAATATTTAAAGAGAATCTCAGAGACTTGTATAGTCGTCGCTGTGGTCATGAATCACAGAATGAGTAGAGTGAGTCAAAATTGAACAACACGTTAAAGCAATCAAGACTTTAACCTTCTTAAGTAGGGTAGGGTAGATGGTGACACTCAAAAGTTTACCTATAAAAGTAAAATCAAACTTCTTTTAGACGTTAGCCACAAAAATAAATGCTAATCGTTAGATTTCATAATATAAAAAATTAAAATTAAAATATATATAAATTTTATAAAAAAAATTATATAATTTGTTTTCAAAAAAAATGCATAATTCTTTTAAATGGTCTTATAATTTTAAGACATTTGTTTAATCACTATAATATTATTGAAAATGATGACTAAGTTTTGTCAACAAAAAAAAATTGACTGATTTTTTAGTGAAGTGTTTCTCCCTCCTAATCTCAAGTTTATCGCATTGTTAACTTTTAATTTAGACTGCTAATCTTATATGCAAACCAAAATAGGTTTAAATGGATAATGATGTAATTCAAAATTATTCTTAAAATACACGAAGTCTGAATTTTAAAATCTAAAATAGTCAAAATAACCTTTATATTTAAGAGGACGACTGAGAGAAGAGTGGTGGAAAGGTGAACATCACTGAAATCTACGTTTATTTCTTCGTATTATGATTTTTTAAAGCATAAATAAACATGCAAAAAACAAAATCGGAGTAATTTCTTCAAATAAAAATAAAGCATGATAGAAGTTAAAAGAAACGGATTCTTAAGCAAATCAAATCAAACTTTTAAACCCGAATTTTTAAAAAGTGATCAAAACACCAAATTCAAACAGAATATATATGATTGAAATCTAATAGAATCAGATGTCAAACTTTCCAAACCGGTCCAATTCTCTGGTTTTTAACGGTTGAAGATGTTCATGAGTTGTAGGGTAATACTAACTTTGATCCTAATTATAAATATATGATAAATCATTAAAATCAAGAAAAATAATTACTATAATTATTTTTAATTAATTTTATCATAAATTTAAATTTTATTATAAATATATTCTTTATTTTAAGTGATTGTCATATTTTTGGTAAAAAGTGATTGTTCATATTTAATGTTATATAAAAAATAGAGTTCTTAATAAATAAAAGATATAAAAAAATTATCCTAAGCAATTATAAAAACTAATAATTGTTTATACTATCAAGTCCTAATTATAAGATCATTTCAAATAAATTACACCCTTTAAAGAAATTAGTTAATTTAGTTAAATATTAAATTTGTCAATAGTTTCAACTAATTTTTCAAAATTAACCTCTCGTTTCATTTTTCATTTAATTAATTATGTTTAGAAGAAAGAAATTTTTATATGCCCATTGATCTCTTTTAATTCTAATAAGAGAGAAAAAGTTTTAATCCAATTAATTTCAAATATTTATTATCCTTTGTCTAAAAAAATTATTAATTAAATAAGACTATTTTAAGGGATATATAATTAATGCAAATGACAATAAGAAAAATGAAAGTATAAAAACCAAAAAAAAATTCAAAAAAGTAAATAATAATCTTATATATAAGGATGGAAGTAGTAATTAAGAAAAAAAAAATCCAATTCATTACTTATAATTAAAATCAAAAGTAATAGCAAATGTAATATGGTAGAAAGTTCCTATACAGGATTAATAAATGCAACTATTTAACATTTTTTTATGGATTTTGGATGGAAGTATATTAGATCAAATTAAAATCAAGCCAATTTTATAAAAATAGAGCTTGTATTACAATTTTTTTTTTCATTGACTAGTCTCCATCAAACACTGACTAGTCAAACACCGACTAGTCTCCCTTGAGAGCTTCAACTGTCTTGATCAGGTGAAGATTTCCTCTCAACTTTAATTTTTTGTATTTCCAAAAGGCAGAACTTGAACTTCAACCATTAAGCAACATGAGTCCTTTTACACTCACGCCCCAAAGTTAATCCATTTTGCTCAATATGAACGAGGCAAAACAAAACACAACAAACAAACACATGTAGGCCATAACATGATCAGTGATCTGAAGTCATTCTAACAAGTATTATATTTTTTATTTGCAACTAAATATATACAATTTTGAGCAGATCTTGTTCTATATAATGTTCGTGAAAATAAGATTGATAACAAGAGTCCAAACTATATAATATAAAACACAAAAACGTGACATTATGTCAGAATAGATATACTATGGTTTTGGTGTATGTATCAAAACGGTTTATCCAAGAAAATGTTCAGCTCAGGTTGCAACCGGGGAATCAACACCTGATGGATTGTTCACTACTAGTGTTGTTGCTGGAGGCAGGAATTTCTCAATGTCCTTTGCTCCAATTTGAGCAAACTCTTTGACAAGCATGTTCATATATCCAGATAAAGACTCCTTAAATCGCTCTGAGCAGCTCTTGTCACCCTCATCAACGTCCTGAACCCCTCCTTTGACCAAACAGCCAACTTGAGCACCTTCCATGTATGCTTTGCATGCCACCAGAATATCACTAGCTCGGCTGCAGAAATGCCCCACAACGAAGTCCTCGAAATTCTGAAACAAAAAATAGCATTGTGTTAAGCTTTGAACCCCCAAAAAGGAGTAGAAACATGTTTGAGGCAACAATCATTTGATACATGTATATACAAGGAACATGAGAACCTTTTTAAGTGGACAAAACTAAAGAAAAATGCACGACTTTTTTAAGTGGTCCAATACCAGTACCACTAACTAACTTTTAATTTTGACCATCCATGTAAATTAGATCATAATAAGAAGAAATATTCTCAATTGTTACGTCTCCTCTATGTGTGCATTATAGCACTTGCCCTATTCGTCTTCGGATAGAATCCAATTCAAAGTAGCAAATTTAGTTTATGATAATGTCATTTGAATTATGTTATCATAATTTATCTTTAGGATTATGTTATTTGAATTTGTTATCATAGTTTATCTTTAAGATTTATCATTTGAATTCTTTTATCATAACTTATCTTTAGGATTTAGTTTAGGATTATATTATTTGAATTCTATTATCATAGCTTATCTTTAGGATTTATCTTCTTTTAACAATTTCGGCAAGTTAGTTGAGAGTTGATTATAAGAATAGAGTAATTTGAGAGAGGGAGACAGTTTTGGAGAATTTTTATTGGATTGTAATTGGAGCCGGTGCTTGAGAAAAGGAGGCAAGAGATTAATCTGCCAATCTCTATTTTCTATTTTGAAATAATAATACTCACCCATTTTTGGGTTTCCATCATCTTCATTCACGTGAAGACCATTTTCCACAGATCAATGTAGTGGGCATATATGTTGATAAGGCAAATAATGCATTATTATATTGCAATGATAGTTTTAGTTCAACAAACTGCAAGTAAAAAGACATAAAGATGTTGACAAGACTAAATAGAACAAGGAGATACAAGTGTGTCTCATACCCCCTCCCAACCATAGGATTTGCCCCATTTGAGCCCCCAAAGTTCAGCCCTGAAGGGATGGAGATAGTAATAATCCCAAAGCACATTCAGGTACAGGGCCTTGAGTGGACAAATGGTTAAGACGAGATCTCAATTACTGACTAATAAGAAACCATGCATAATATATCCTTTTTAATATATTATAGAAGACACTAAATGAAGCCATCAAGCACTTGCATATATGTAATATGCTCAGTCTGTTCTAAATTTTACATTTGATTCCTAAATTATCCAAAACAATGTATATTTTACATTTAATATCCAAAACAATTCTAAATGCACAAGCATATGCCTAGGCATTGCTTCTTTGATTTCAACCCCACCCCTTCCTTCCTTACTCACCCTCTCCCCAAAAAAATAAAAAATAAACAAGGTTACCAAGAAATTATTAGAATTTGAACTTGGGATAAAATTCAACCACACAAAACCAGCTTATAAGTTTTATTTAAGTCATATCTCTCATCAAAGTGAGACTAAATACCACCCTTGAGACTACAATTAAGCCAGAGCCCTCAAAGAAACTGCAACTAAGGCAGGTTAGGGGTGACCACAATCAAGGTAGCTTTCCAACACTATCCTTCACCTTCACACTCCAGGCTACCCGGCTTGGAGTGTGACAAACTGACAATACAAGTGGACCCAACAATAGATCTAGTAAGGATAAGCTTTGATATCATATTAAAATTTGAGTTTAAGATCTAATTCAATCTCACAAAACCAACTTGTAAAGTGAATATTATTTGGCCTTTAATAGCTCTATTTAAGTCATATTTCTAGTCGATACGAGACTTAACACCACTTTTGAGACTACAATTAAGGCAACCCCCAAAATGACCACAACTAAGAAGGGCTAGGGTGACCGCAATTAAGGCAGTTTTCAACCACAAGTGAATATCGCAAAGCAACCTTGCTAAAGATATAAAAAATGAACCAAGACTAGAATCAAACCTTTGGAGGCCTTCGTATCATATACATCATCGTCCTCAATGATAGAATGAATGTATCCTCATTATACTGAAAGGATTTCTTTTCGCCATTTGCTGAACCACTCATGCGTGCATATCCAGGTTCATTAAAGTAAGGCTTTGTATTCAGGATTAGACCTTGTATAGAGACCAGAACCTGTAGAATCGTTGAAACACCTGGAAGCCACTTCTCATTTTTGTTGCCAGACCAGGTGTTAAGTAGACTAAGGCACACTTTTCCACAATCATACAAATTTGGGTTGAGCCGAAGACCTCCAGAGTGGTAATGAACTTGCTGCAATGATAAAATGGCCCTTGTGTCAGACTTGGTTTAAAAAGAATGAACAATAAAATAATGCCAGACAGTTACAGTATCCCCAACCACATACCGGCGGTACACTAGGATAGCTACTGGGAAAGAAAACATCAAAAAAGAAAAGGCCATCGTGATAAGGAGTCCCTTCTGCTCCAATAATGACAGCTCTTAGAAGATCCATCCTTGACTCATAAACTCTAACAAATATTAAATCTGAAGGGGGAATAAGAAATAGTCAAAGATTACAGAACAAGAGAGCTCATAACACAATTTTACAGGTATCTCTAAGTTCAACTTCCAATTTCAGAACAAGCATTTGGATTCTTCTAAAGAAAAAGTTAAAAAAACATTATTTTAAAAGGATTAATCATAAAATTAACCAAGATAATGCTCTTAGGATATGACAGGAAACCAACCTACCATTTTAATAACAATGATTGGAGTTCTTTCAAAAAAAAGTTCTATCAAAAAAATTATAATGCTACGAAGTAATTAAAGACTAAATTAAATATGGCAAGGAAAATAGTTCAAGTACAACTGTTTTGTAGCAGGAATACTGAAACAAACTTACCTGGCAAATCCTTCTGCAAAATCTTCCACTCTTCCTGAATTTTTTTAGCCCAATTCTTGGGAGACTGTTCAAGAAATAGGTTCATGGTAAACCCAAGTAATTAAGCTCAGAAATGAAACAAAAAGCATCTCAAAAAATTTACCTGCTTCACTGAAGAATTAACATGAACAAAGTAATGGTCTGAAGTGTCTTCAACAGTGTCAAATTGTTTAAAACTTTGGAATTTCCTCAGAATTTCATCTTTCGCTTCGTCAGAGATTGTCAAAATTGAGCTGTCCACAGCTGTTCCACTAAATCCATCTCTAGTAGAATCATGTACCCAGTTATTATCAAATACATGCTCAGGATGGGCATGAAGAGGATCAAATGGATGATAAATATGATTAGGAATATTATTATGAGGAGTAGATAATGGTTTAGTTTTATGAGAAATCTTCCACCAAGGTTTTCCTGAATCTATTCCCACAGGATGCAATGATCCATGAAGTCCAATGAAATTTGAATGGGATGAAGTGCTACTGCCATCTGCCTTCTTAGCACTTTTAAATTGCCCCCAATATGGTGGCTCACCTGCATGTGGCATCTTCACAGCCTCTGAATTGTCAATAAAACCATTGTATGATGAGGAAAGCTTCTTTTTACTATGGAAATTCCCTAAAAAGCAGTGAGACTTAGATGACTCTACTCCTAATGAAGCATTTGATGTACGCCCTCTGATTTTTGAAGTAACTAATTTCTTCTTACAAGGGGCAGATTGAGAAAATAATTGAGGAGAAAAAGACATTCCAGAAGAGTGATCAACATTATCCATTTTGATTTGAATGTTAGAACTACCCACCAAAGATCCTTGAACTATAGAGTTAGTTGGCTCTAATGATAAAGAAGACTGAGTAGAGGGCGTCATTGGACCTTTTATAGCACTTGATTGCATATGAAGCCAAGGATCATATAATGTACTGTTGCCAGTCTTATTCAAACCTATGTCATAGCCTGGTGGCAACCAAGTCATAGGTGCTTCAATTCCAGGAGGTATATCCACATTATCAAAGTGTTTCTGTAATAAAGCATACTCATCTACGTCCATATAATCTTCTGAAACAATATCAATGAAGTCATCATCTTCATATTCAGAACCATGACTATCATCAATATTGATTAAATCATTTGACACTGAAGGGAAACCGTTAGAAGATGCAATTCCACTAGCTGATCCAAAATTGTTCACACCAGGTAGAGAGAAAGCATAATCAGGCATTTTCTGAAAAGGATTTCAAGCAAAATGTTAAGAGCCGTTCTCATGATGGAAAGGATACCATCTATCGGATGCAACAAATAACACAAAACAAATCTTATACAAACCACAAGTTGATGATCATCATGAACAGCATCAATTGTCTTCCCTTTGCTACTACTATTAACTTTTTCGCCGATTATCACTACATCCTCAGAGTCATCATCATTGTCAATCTCAATCACATCATGCAAAATGACCTAGAAAAGTAAAATTCAATTATTATAACTAAGTAAAGAAAAGGTAGACTCAGAAATATTCATATTATACAGACAACAATAAGAGAGCCAAAATATATATCAAAGAAACAGCATTGCTTGTCAATTTTCAAACTGAAGTATTAACAAAACATGGTAAAACAATCTTCCCTTGTATTTACTCTAATCATACAAAAGATCTGTTAGTGGAATTCTTCCATTTTGTGATGGCACCAGTACCCCTTAACAACTAGTGGTTAAAATTTGTTCTTGTGTCCCACTTACTTGAAATATAAATACAGTAAGTTAATTTTTTATTAGCATTCCAATTAAAGAGCCCATGGTTAAATATTGGCTTCTAATTTCTGAAGATACTGGTAGCTTCATAAAAACAAAGTGCATGGAATCTCCTTAACAAATCTCCTCAACAATTTGAAAATCAATACAAGCGACCTCCCTGAACTGAAATCATACCTTCGTAAACCTAAAGAAACCTCCCATGATTTTTCGTTCACAAACTTCCCATCAGTAAAAGGATTTTCTAGGCTTCCAAAATAAAATGGGCATTCATGTAATAAAGAAAAAATTCAAGGCAAGGGAGGGTGATGTAATCAAAAATATATTTATGCTGGAGAAGAAACCAAAAGAAAACGCTCAAGTCTAAAACCTCACATACAGTAGAGAAAAAGAAAAATGAAATCAATAATATTTTAGAGAGGAATTCCCTTGCTAAGTTTCCTTTTTACTTTTCCTAAAAGCACAATGTTTTGCTCACGCTCACTCAAACTACAAAAAGTATTACAGGTTAACCACAAAGACCCAACAGTTACACACATCGATACCATGAATACCTGAATCACATAGTTATTTATTCATTGGAAACAGGAAGAATAATAGAAAAATTAAGACAAACAAACTTAAGAGGAAAAAATCACATAAAAGAAACAGAACATTGATGGCCAACCCACAAACTGTTTGATCCTACAATTTCCTAAGTGCAGGGACTAGAAACATTTCATTTACAACAGACTTTGCCATAAATGACACAAAAGTAGGCCTTGACTAGTTCATCTTAGCTAATGGTAACAGATAACCAATGGCTTTTCACAATCAAAAGATGAAAAACGGTATAGTATGTCAGGAAAATAGCAGAGAAATATCGAATTCACCATTCAAGGGCAAACTACAGGTGAAAAAAACAGTACAACTATAGTGATGAACGATGATAACACAACCCTATTACACATGCATATATAAGCTCTACTGTGTTGTCTTCTAGCAATGACATATTACTGTTTTATTCAAAAGTCCTTACTCCTTAAAACAATTAAGAGATGAATTTAATTTATCCAGTGAGTCAATCAATCAAATTGGACTATGCTGTTGGCCAGGTGCAAATTAGACTTGAAAGGATAAAGAAAAATAAACTAATAGACTATCACAAATTAGTTTAGTTTATCTTTCCTAGCTAGCCATATGAGAACAAAAATCAATATAATTACTTCTTAATTTTTCCTTGGATGGAGGCAACATACAGGGAAATGCATTAGACACAACCCGAATTTGCAAATGGCATGCAAATTATCCTTGAAGGCCCTAGGAAATAGTTCCAAACATAAACACCAACTGAGTGCCAAGTTGCCCACACAACACATCTTATTGATATAACCTTATCCTCCCTCTAAAACATACCAAAAATTATATATATATATCACATGCAATTCAACATGAACAAACATTTCCATAATAGAACAACCCGAGAAAAAACAACAATCTGATCTGGGAGTTTCTCGATCACATGAGACATCTATTCTTAGGTACACTGACAACACCAGGGAGAAAAAAGGATATGATCAGCCTGAAGTTGCAAAAAATTTGCAAATAAATCTTAACCAATTTATTACCCAAAGGCTATTTATAGCATAGCCCCTTTCCATTCCAATGAATGCATTAAAAGACCTTAAACTCCAAACCCTTGGGGTAACAACCACGTGATCATCAAATGAAGACCCAAATGGCAAAGAAGACGATACAAGAAACCCACAATCCATCCAAAACCACACACACAGGACACTTATATAACACAGTCAAAATTTACAATGTCACAACGTACACGTCACACTAAACCCACTCCAGGAACAAACCTCGCATGCAGCAACCAACACGAAAAAAGGAGGCCTTAACAGCGGCAAGAGCAGTTGCTTTGAAGCAAAAAGGGGGAAAACACGGGTTAACCAACACACAACACAAAACAAAACGATCATGGCTGAAAAGTGAAGACCCAGATTAAGATTTTTCAAAACGATCAAAACTTAGAGAGAATTGAAGACCCCCACAAACGAAAAACACCCCCCCCCCCCCCCCACGAATTCCAGAAGAAACAAAATCGGAAGTTTGAATCGGTGGGAGGAGCTTGCCTTGTTGTGGTCGTAGAAATTGGAAGAGGGGTGAATTGGGGGAGGAATCTCGACGACGTCAGGGTCCATAATGGTAGGCGAATATCCACTCCTTTGGTTGAAGGAAGAAAGAAAGAAAAAGTGAGTGAAAGAAGAGTGAAGGTTGATGGGGGTGTTATTATAGTGTTACGCAGAAGAGAGAAAGTGCGTGAAAGTTATAAATAAAGGAGAGAGACAAAGAGACAGACCTTACGCTATGTGAGTGGGGGCGCGGCTTCGGCTTCCCAAAGGAAATTCCATGGACTCAACTTGTCCAATGTCGATACAGTCTTTTACAAGACAACCTCGGTCAACAATTCTTTTTTTTTTTATTATTATTATTTTAACATCGGATATTCAAATTTATTGATCATAAAATAAAAATAAGGAGAATTTTAAAAATTTTGCTTTAGGAGCTATTTTTTTAATTTTAAAACTGTCTAGATACAAATTTTAAAAAAAAAATTATGAATAAAAAATTTAAGCTAAAAAATGACATATAAAAATTTTTAAGTTATGAAAAATGTAATGTTAATATTTAACTTTGAATTTTATTGTAACGACTCACCTAGCCGTCGTACAACAATAACATCACGTAGAATAGAGTATGCATATATATATATAAAATAAAATATATACACATAGGTCTAGCATGGGCTCAACAAGTCCATATACAAAAACCATCAGCCTAACTACACTAGGTAGCTAAAAACAACAAAAATATTCGTTCCATCTGTCAGTTGTAGACCTGCTACTATACTCCGGTCTATCCATGTTCTGCTCTCATATACAGTATGATCATTGCAATCCAATCCACATGGAAACAGACAAGGGTAAGCTAGTGAAAAGAATCAGCATATATATATATAAGAGTTATAAACAGTTTCAACTTATCAGCACTTCATCAAATTCAACAATGTTGACACACAACACATAACAGCATACATTTACATCTCAGCTTCACAACATACTACACATATACAACTCACATCATTCAGCAAAATCAACATCAACAGCTTATGCGTCGTCACGCATTTAATCTAGGAGATCTCCTATATTCTTAGTGATTAATGGAGAGCAAATTGAAGAAATGACTTTAAATCTTTGTGTACTGACTCCTAATCGAATTGTTTGGGATTCAGAAGTGAAGGAAATCATTTTACCTACTAATAGCGGACAAATTGGAGTATTACCAAATCATGCGCCTATTGCCACAGCTGTAGATATAGGTATTTTGAGAATACGCCTTAAAGACCAATGGTTAATGATGGCTCTGATGGGCGGTTTTGCTAGAATAAACAATAATGAGATCACTGTTTTAGTAAATGATGCGGAAAAGGGTAGTGACATTGATCCACAAGAAGCACAGCAAACTCTTAAAATAGCAGAAGCTAATTTGAATAAGGCTGAAGGCAAGAGACAAAAAATTGAGGCAAATCTAGCTCTTAGACGAGCTAGGACACGAGTAGAGGCTATCAATGTGATTTCGTAACAAGTTGATGCGTCCGAATATCCGAATATTTAAAAAATTGAAAATGAAACAGTAAGAAAAGATAGAAAATAAATAAAAGGTTAGTATAAACATCTTACAGCACAACTCATCTTCAACGTCATTAATCAGCATAAACAGCATAAATCAGCATAATCAGCATAATCAGCATAAATCAGCATAATTGAAAGAACACATCCGCGCCCGACGCAATAAGATTCGCGCCCAACCTGGCTCTGTGGATTCCTGTGCGGACCTTATGAGGAACAATTATGACATGACTATGTGAAATATGCACAAATGACATGAGACATAAGAATGGACTATTGAGATAAGCTCTTATTAGGAGAATATGAAAAATGATGACATGATGTACTAAATGAAATTCTTTAATAAGTCAAATGTTGAGTCAATAAAATAATGAATGTATGACATGCATCACATGCATATATAACTCCAGGTGTGTTGCTTATGCCGCATACCAGTGATGTACTGAGATATTTTAGGCATACCTTAGGGTCACCAGTGATGTAACATGCTAACAAGGTGTACCTTAGGGTCACCCACGACGTAACAAGCTAACAAGGTGTACCTTAGGGTCACCAGTGATGTAACAAGCTAACAAGGTGTACCTTAGGGTCACCAGTGATGTAACAAGCTATGAGAAATGTGAAACTTCTGTATGGCGCCACATGCATGCATTTATGACTCGAGTCCATGACATCATTTCATGATAAACGAGTGTATATGTGATATTGATTATGTATGTGTATTGTTTACATGTGACTTATATTTGTTGTGTGTGTGCTATCTAACCTTTATTTTTGCACCTGAAATCGAGTGAGATATTTCTCACTCCCTTGTTATTCTTGTACATGTTTAAATTATGTTGCAGGTGATCATCATCATGGGGATGTTGGTGATGAGGCTTAAGGTTTCAGTTGGGTATGTTCTGATAGGATATGTGACATCGGGGCATAACTAGGCTTAGTTCAAGATGTGGTGGTTTCGGTAGGATGGAATGTCACTTATACAGCTCTATTGTTGTGGAGATCTCCTAGGTGTATGCGTGACGACGCATTAGATGATTGATATGCATTGATATCTGTCATGAGATGCATTTATTGCATGATTATTAATATGATGAAGTGTGGTGTTTGACTTCATGATTGGTGCATTGTATGTTATGCATGAATAGTATTGGATAGAGTGTATGGTGAGACTCTATGAATATGATTAATGGTTGGATGATTGTGTAGTATAGATTATAGTTCTATACTTGTATGATTGATTTGTGAATTCTAGCTTACCCTTCTGCTTCCATGTGGTGGAACTGCGATGATCATACTTGGTATGGGAGCAGGTCAGGGCTAACTTGGAGTTGAGGTGTCCGCTGCAAGACGGGGAGTTTTGATCCTCGTGTTGGAGTTATCATTTTGGGTAACGGTTTTGTCTGTACTTGACCGGCACTAGGGAATATTATTTTTGGGATGACTGTACATATATGAAGTTTTATTTTATAACCAAAAATTTAGATAATTTATTTTTATTTGTACATGTATGTATGAGTTATCCAGCTTAATATTTCTCTTAGTTCACTAGCAGTAGTGCGATTCCACTAAGTGTAGAGACCATGGCGGGTCGTTACAACATGAATGTGTTCTGTTTTACTTTATGTTTGCCCTATTGTGTTCCTTGTTGGAAGTGATGAATGAATATGTAATTAATTTTAAAAATAAATGTTTTAATATGAATAAGAGTGCTCTCTGTGGATTCCTGTGCGGACCTTATGAGGAACAATTATGACATGACTATGTGAAATATGCACAAATGACATGAGACATAAGAATGGACTATTGAGATAAGCTCTTATTAGGAGAATATGAAAAATGATGACATGATGTACTAAATGAAATTCTTTAATAAGTCAAATGTTGAGTCAATAAAATAATGAATGTATGACATGCATCACATGCATATATAACTCCAGGTGTGTTGCTTATGCCGCATACCAGTGATGTACTGAGATATTTTAGGCATACCTTAGGGTCACCAGTGATGGGTTAAAGGCAAAATTAATAGTCCGGAACGACCCGTTCCAACTTGAGAACAGCCCGATCTGGGCTACTAATTCACACTTTCACTGGTAGTTTGGAACGATCCGTTCCAATTCAAGAACATCCCGTTCCAAGCTACTAAATCACCCCTATCACCTTTATAAAATTACCAAAATACCCTCAATTAAAATAAAATAAAATTGAAATAAGAAAAATGGGGTGTTACAGGACCAACCAGAGAGCTCCAAAGCTCTCACGCGCCCGGTGCAATTCCAATTGCACCTGGCGTGCTAGAAGGTAGAGACTCTCAGGAGTTTCATCCACTCGGCGCACCAAACCCACGCTCAGCGCAAGTAAGGCAGAGACCTCCCCAAGGTCTCACGCCCGACGCAATACCAATTGCGCCCGGCGCCACCCCCTGGCAGAGACTCCCATGGAATCTCTACGCCCAGCGAGATTGAATCCCGCCCGGTGCCATGCCAGTACCCCAAAATTGTGAGTCCCTGTCTGATATCACGCCCAACACGGTCCAACCACGCCCGGCGTGAGCCATCTAGGGGCTTCCATTCTTAAGCTCGCCCGGCGCAAACAACCCTACACCCGACGTGCTCAAACAATGGAACACTCTAATGGACACACGCCCAGCGCCAATAACTACACCCGGTGCACTATCAAACAGCAACCCTCAAACTTCGAAAATTTTCCCCAAATCCTGCAAAAAAAAACCACTCAAGCACATGCAATCCATCCAAAGAACCACATGATCAGCTTACAACCCAAAGAAACAACTCTTTTTCAACATGCAACCATTAAAACTCAAAAACCCCAAATTTTCACCATTTTCCCTGAAACCCCGAAAACACCATTTTCATCAAAATAGCCCATCAATCTTCTAAAATCAAACAACACATGAGTTTCTAGACTCATTTCCAACCAATCCATGCGAAAACTAGCTTCCCTTGTCTCGGAGGAGAAGAATTCTGAGCTTCCGGGAAGAAGGAAGAGAAGAAGAGAAATGAGAGGAGAAGAGAATCCGCGTCTTCAGCTAGCTCCGCCCGTCTCTAATTCAGAGCACCTATAGCCACCAAGGAACAAAGAATTTGAACAAGGCAAGTGAGTGGGAAGAAGAAGAGAAGGAAGGTTATTGAGAAGGAGGAAAAATGGGAACGGAAGTGGGTCTCACATTTATCACACAAACTAGTTTATATGATAACCAAGATGCTAACTCATTTTGTTGAGTCATTAATTGGCATGTTTTGTGTCATATAAGCAATGATTTAATCATTAAGAACCAAAATTAGTAGCTTTAAATTTTAGAAGAATGAAAATCAACTAATAATATTATTCTTGGTCTTAATTA